CAAAAAAGCAGAGAAAAACGACATCAATCAATTCATACCTATTGATAATTATACTGAATGTAAACAGATGAAATGTACCAGTCAAGACACATAAAGGACAGGTGGCTAAGAAAACAGGATCCTTCAATATGCTGTCTACAAGAGACATATCAAAAAGATGGAGACAGCCTAAATGCCTATCAACAAAACGGTGGTTAAACACAATGGAATATTATACAGCATTAAAGAATAATGGTGAATCTGGGAAACACCTCACAACATGGCTGAACCTGGAGGACATTATGCTGAGTTAAATTAGTCAGTCACAAAAAGATAAACATTGTATGAGACCAGTTTTGTAAAAAGTTGTAAAAAAAAAAAAAAAAAAAGGTTTTCTTGATCAAAGAAACCTTCTATGATGGACCTGGGGTGAAGGAAACTTAATCATGAGCTAGAGGGTAGACATATGTTTACATGGGTGACAGGGCAGGTGATATGCAACAAGAGGGAGACATGGGGGAATGCAATAGCTAAAGTGAACAGAGGTAAATACTATTAACTGTTGGTACGTGGAGGGGACTGCAGTATGACTTGTTAAATGTAAAACTGATAATCTGCTCTGTAAATTTCACTCAATACTTAATAAAAAGTTAAAAAAAAAAAAAGTAACATCAACCTGGAACTAAAATTCAACAGATCTCAGCATGGAAGGTGGAACTGAAAGAGGAGTAGGGAAGTATGCTAAATTTCCTGTCTTCTTTATGAAAGAAAGTGAGAAGAAAAAGGGAATGTGTCTTGATCAATCTTAGGTATGTATTTTAAACATTTACCAGTAACTAAGGAGCTCTGATAGTGTAGTGGTTATAAGTCAGGCTGCTAATCTCATGGTCAGCAGTTCGAAACTACCAGTGGTTCTGTGGGAGAAAATGAAGCTTTCTGCTCCCATAAAGATTTACAGCCTCAGAAACCCTATACAGGGTCGCTATGATTCGGAACTGACTCCATGGCATACCACCACCACCACCAGTAACTGCAGAAGAGGGTTTAGTGCTTATTCTACAGTGCCACACCAGACTCCCAACAGAGGACGGCTGTATGCAATGTTTTGATACTAATTTTATGTGCATCGCATGGTTTTTACAAATCCACAACCTCCTTGCATGCTCGTTTCCTAAGCACGCTATGCACATTATAAGCATGTACATGTTATTAACATAAATATGGTAACTTGCAAAAAAAATGTATTTATTTTGTGATTTCTACTTTTATGCTTTGTTTGTGGTATCAAGAAAACTGGATCAAATATTGAAATAGGGGAAAAGAAACAAAAACAGAGTTAATGTAATAAAATGGTGGGCATAAGTTTCAACATGAATTGTTATAAGTGCTGTCAAGTCAGCTTTCATATCGACTCTGTATAGAGTTTCTAAGGAGCAGCTGGTGGCTTTGAACCACCGACGTTTTGATTAGCAGTTCAGTGTTTATCCCACAGAACCATATCAGGACTCCATTGAACACGACTAGTTACAATAAACATGTGTAGGCTAAATCTACTTTGAAAAATCTAAAATTTAAATTTGTATTCTAAGAAAGCAGTTTCAGATTTAGTTCAAAAAGTGCAACTGGATACATTCACAAGAGACATAATTGATGTCCTGCTGTGGCACTGTAGAACAAGCACTGAACTGCTAACTGTAAAGTCAGTGGTTCAAACCCACCAGCTGCAGCTTGGAAACTTTATACAGAGTCATTATGAGTTGGAACTGATTAAATAGCACTTAACAATAATACCTAAAACAACACAAGAAAGTTTAAAAATAAAGGGGTAGAGGTGGGAATGTGGGGGGTGGATGGAGGGGATGGTAGAGCATAGGGTAGGGGGTAGACACATCATAGTTCAGATGTTGGGGAGGGCAATACACAAGAAGGGGGAGGGGGTGGAAGAACAAGGTAGATAGGGGAACACTGAGATAGCTTTGCATGGGTTAAATGGGACAGATGTAAATAGTGATGTATCTTAACCTTGGAACAACAGGGCTCTGTGATACAGGGATCGAGGCCTAGTCTGAAAAAGGGAAGTAATGTTAAGATGCTTGACTATCTTATGAATATTGGTTTCCCTTGCCTAGTATTGTAAAATAGACACTTGAGTGGGATAGAAAGGAATGTTGGGAAACATGATGACAGAAAGCTTGTAAGCCTGTCTTCAGCCTATAACCAATTGGAATACCTAAAAGGGCTTCTGGAACTTGCCCAGTGAAATAGGCTTCTTGCAGAGCCTTTGCAGTGTAAAGGACTTTAGGTGGACTCCTGAGCCCCATCCAGAACTTTCTGAGGTGGGACATTTCCACTAGAAAGGACAAGTAGTCCAGCCTGGTACTGCTAGAGCAACAGAAGATACATCTTCATAGAAAGATCAGCAGGAAAAACCGAAAACAAAAATGGCAGTATGATTGGCTACAAGAATAAGTACACAGGCTCACAAGTGTTCCTTTAGTTCCTATGGCCTCTTTGTATGGATCCAGAGAGCCAAAAGAGAAACACCTGGGAATACATCCCCCAAGGGGCAGCCATTCACCAATGACAGTGGCCCTATTAATACCCTCCCCTCCTCTAGTAAGCAGGACTCTGAGTGGTATGACCCCATTGTCTCCAGAGCTCCCCAGTTAGGCTGTGCCAAAGCTACCCTCCGAGGGCTTTGCTTGATACCGTACCCTGCATGGCCTCCTCCTTTCCCCACCACTTCCTTCCCAGTTTCCCCTGGGAATATCTTTTTAATAAATTGGTTTCATACAAAATCCAGTGTTTTAGGCTTTGCTTTCAGCATGAGATAATGTGTAACCAATTTCTACATTACATTCCTTTTACTGAAATGCCAGGTGTAGTTTCTGTTTTTGTTCTGGTTTGTTTTTTGACTTGACCTTGACTGATAGAAAATATTGCCTAGCCAAATCTGAGACATATGAAATGACCAAAGCAAAGTTTTCTTATTTTTAAAATTTATATAAAAAAATAAGACTAACCAAATGATTTAAGCTTTCAATTTAAAAAAAATCTAGAAATAGAACAATAAACATAAAACCAGGGACTGATATTAACTCAAGAGAAAAAATAATACAAACCAAAAGACGAGTCTTTTACAGAGATGTTGTTGGCAAGCCTGATCAAAAAATAAATAAATAAATAAAGGACACAAAAATAAATGACCTAAATTGGTTCAGGAAGAAATGTTGTTATTGTTAAGTATTGTCAAGTTAGTTCTAACTTATAGGGCCCTATATAGGGATTCAGAGGAGCAACTGGTGGGTTTGAACCGCTAACCGCCAGCGCTTATTATCCTACAGCACCATACCAGGGCTTCAAGAAGAAATAGAAAACTTAAACAGATCAATGATCATAGAAGAAACTGACAACGACTTCCAAAGAAGTTTGGTTCAGATAGTTGGTGGGCAAGTTCTACCAAACTTCAAAGAGGAAAATGATTCTCACGTTGTATCAACTATTTTCAGAGTATAGGAAAAAGAAAAATCTCCAACTCATGGAGTCCTGGTGTGGCGCTATAGGATAAGTACTTGACCACCGGCCCATTTAAACCACAAGGTCAGCAGTTCAAACTCACCAGCTGCTCCTGAGAAACCCTATAACCACAAGGATGGCAGTTCAAACTCACCAGCCACTCCTCTGAAAGCTTATACAGATTCATGATGAGTAGGGACTGACTTGACTGCAGTTAACAACACATAGACAAAACCTGCTTAATATTGACAACAGGAAAACATAAAAGACAACCTAAAAACCTATGCAAAAATCTGGAACAAAACAATTACAACTCACCGAAGTATACACTTCATTTCTCTATAATGTTAGTGCATGCATCAAGACTGTGTAGAAGGGTAACTGGCAATAGAGGTCACCTCTAGGAGATGTGTGGGGTACACAGTGTGAGTGTGGAGACGTGGGGGGAGGGAGGGATGCTGGACATTTTCTGCATTGCTTAAAATGTTTTTAATAATACAAATATATTCATTTAAAAAAATTAAAACAAAAAAAAAGTTTTAAAAGGGAAAGGAAACAGAAAAAGAACAGGAGTTTAATTTCACAAAGGAGATACAGCTAATGTTTAACTGAAAGCTGTGGAGGTGGGGGGTGGGGAGGCAAAAACTAAACAAAAAACTGCCTGGAGCAACCCTAAATTAAAGGCAGAAGCCTTTTGCTGGTGGTCTTCCAACATTACCAGTCAAAGGACAGAACGGAGCTTGAAATTTCAGGTCCTTACAACAGAAGTCTACTGCACCATATCAAATTGTGCTTCCTTCAGGGAATCTCCTAGAGGTCACACCCTGTGCCTACCATCTACTTTATTCTTACCTGCAGAATCCAAGATATAATTTAGATACCATTATCCAAGGCATATTTATATATGACCTTGTTTTTGACTTTAGCTTCATAACCCAAAAAATGTTGATTCTTTGAACCTTGATACATACAGATGGCAAAGTTGTTTTTGGATCTAGAGTCAGACTGACTTAGTTGGTTTCCTAATTTCTCTGAGCTTCCATTTAATTTGTAAAGTAGGGGCAGTAATCGTCTTTACTATAGTTATGAGGTAATGCAGGCAAAGAACTTACAACAGTGCCTGTCATAAAAGAGCCAGGCATGTAGTGTTTCCTATCCTTAGGAGCTCTGGTAGTGTCGTGGTTATGAATCGGGCTGTTACCCTCAGGGTTAGCAGTTCAAAACTACCAGCTGTTCCATGGGAGAAAGATGAGGCTTCTGCTCCCATAAAGATTTACAGCCTCGGAAACCCTGTACAGGGTCACTATGAGTCGGAACCGGCTCCATGGCACACAACAACAACAACAACATTATTAGACTACTAGTGTTATTCTTCTCTATCAAGAAAAGCCAAATTTCTGCTTAGACATATGGAATGGCTAACTCCCTACAATATATTTAAGAAACACATTTAAAACCTTCGGGGCCCTGGGGCAAAGCTCTGGGAGCTGACCCTCCTCACTCACCTGTTCAATGAGCTGTAGACATTCTGTCAGCGTGTTGTTAATTTTATTGGAGAGTTCATCTTGGGCTTTCTTTTCTTCCTCTTCTTTTTCAATGCTCTTCCAGAATGAAACATTCATTTTCTCTATTAATTTTCTTTTTGATTTAAGTTCCATAGGAGGCCGTTTATAGATTTTCCCCTTAGACTTCTGCCATTCTTCTAGTTGTTTCCTGTAATGCAGTTAAAGGGGCTGCTGGAGCATTAGTTTTTAGAGTCAAATTTTCCAGTTATATGATATGCATAGATAGAGTATAAATAAAGACCTTCAGCTACGGGCAAAGTCATAAAGGAATGCAAAACCAATGTATAAATGGGTTATGGCAGCACTGGCCTGCCTCATCTTCCAAAGGCATCTACCACAGGGGTCACGAGAACTGTAGGTGGACTCCTGGTGAGGCACTGTAGGATCAACACTGGACTGCAAACTACAAGGTCAGCAGTTCAAACCCATCAACTGTTAGTCAGAACTGACTCGACACTTAACAACAATAGGACTGTAGGTGGCCAGATTCTCAATTTGCAAATTCTTTTTTTTTTCTTCTATTATTTTAGTTTATTTTTTAACTTTTTATTGTGAATCGAGTGAAGGTTAACAGACAAGATCATCAGCCTTACATTCAACCAGTCAAACGTTATTTCATCTCAATTAAGTCTGCAAATTCTTAAACTGTGATTATTCTTCATTCCTTTTCTCTAGAAATTTCCATTTTACCTACATGCTACCTGACACTTTTCGAAGACATCCATTACCTGTGATCACCTGGCACTCCACTTTCCCACCATAAGATGTCACTCACTCAGACCCGCCAAATCTGCATTCTACCATCATTAGGATTTGGTCACTCAAAGTGACCCACTTTACCCAGTTCCTCAGCCATTTCTTGACCACACGGTTCCCTTTTTTCCTTAAAAAGATGAGCAATTTTATGGTTCTTAAGTAGCTGGTCTCTGGTGCTGGCAAATTCTGATCCTAGATTTCCTCTGTTGTTTACATTCTTCATTCTTGTTTTCATGCGGCCAATAGGCTGCTGTGAGGGAGCACCAAGACATGGAGATGCAAGGGTCTGGACATGTAGGGGCTTCTTAGCTTTTTAAAACAAGAACTAAATATCGAGGACTCACAAATACACATCTTCAGCCTGGAGAAATATCAGTGTCTAAAGTCAGGGTTTTCAATTTGACACATTGCACAGAGTCAGCAAGCAGTATTTCTATCTCCACTCCCAGCATCCTAGTCCAAGTCCCTGCCATCTTCTGAAATGCCTTGCTTCCATTCTAACCTTTACCAGACTCATGCTTGGCACAGCAGCTAGAGTGATCTTGAAAATGTGAACCTGATCATGTTACCGCTAGGGGCTTTCCATTACTCTCGGAATAAAAATGAAAATGTTTTCCACTGCTGAAAGGCCCACTGTAATTTGCCTTTTGTTCACCCTCTAACCTCAGGTCACACTACTCCTTCCCTCACTGTTCTTCAGAAGCTCTGGCATCCTTTCAGTCTCCAAACCCAAATTCATGCCTGCCTCAGGGCCTTGCATTTTCAGTCTTCAGCCTTTTGTTCAAATGTTAGTTCTTTGAAGATGTAAATTACCTGTCAGATGGATCTTGGCAAAAGAAGAGAAAACCAGAAAGATGTTTACTTGTGCTTTATGGACTATGCAAAGGCATTCGACCATGTGGGTCATAGCAAAGTATGGGTAACATTGTGGAGAATGCGAATTCCAGAACACTTAATTGCATTCATGTGGAACCTGTAAGTAGAACAAGGGGCAGTGGTTCAAACAGAACAAGGGGACATACACAATATTATAAAATCAGGAAAGGTGTGGGCCAGGGCTCTGTTCTTTCAACATACTTATTCAATCTGTATGCTGAGCAAACACTCTGAAAAGTTGTAGCCCATTGCTGCTGCCACTGTGCCAATCCATTATTGTGGTGGGTCTTCCACTCTTCTGCTGACCCTCCACTTTACCGAGTATAACAATAATCAGGATTAGAGGACTAACAACCCTGCTTGCTAAAATTACGAGGACTTGAAGTACTTACTTCAAAGACTACAATCTTCAATGTGGAGAACACTGCCAACATAAAGACAACAAAAATCCTCACAGATGGACCAAAAAGCAACAGCATGATAAACGAAAAGACTGCAGTTGTCAAAGATTTCATTTTGCTTGGATCCACAAGCAACACCTACGGAAGCAGCAGTCAAGAAGTTAACAGTGTATTACATTGGGCAAATCTGCAGCAAAAGACCTCTTTAAAGCGTAAAGAGTAAAGATGTCACTTTAAAGACTAAGGTTTGCCTGCCCCAAACCATATTTTCATTTGCCTCATATGCAATGAATAAGAAAAACTGAAGAATAATTGATACCTTTGAATTATGGTTTTGGTGAAGAATATTCAATATACCATGGACTGCCAGAAGAATTTTGCTAAAGATAATTAAAAAATGGGAGTAACAGTATATTGACAGGGATGTGCCAAAGGTTCAAGTCTGATTCAGACAAGGGTGTGGAATGAGGGATGTCATTGCTGATGCCAGATGGATCTTGGCTGAAAGCAGAGAATACCAGAAATGTTTACCTGTGTTTTACTGACTATGCAATGATTTTTGACTGTGTAGATCATGACATGCTATGGACAACATTGTTGTTGTTATGTGCTATGGAGTTGATTCCAACTTATAGTGACCCTGAACACGGTTTCCAAGGCTGTAAATCTTTACAGGAGCAGAAAGTCTCATCTTTGTCCCGTGGAACAGCTGGTAGTTTCGAACTGCTGACCTTAAGGTTCGCAGCCTGATTCATAACCACTATGCTACCTATGGACAACATTGTGGAGAATGAGTATTTTGGAATACTTAATTGTACTTATGAGGAACCTATATATAGACTAAGAAGCAGTCATATGAACAGAACAAGGGGACACTGAATGGTTTAGAATCAGGAAAGGTGTGTAACAGGATTGCATTCTTTCACCATACACATTCAACTATGCTGAGCAAATAATTTGAGAAGCTGGCTATATGAAGAAGAGTGTGGCATCAGGATTGGAGGAAGACTCATTAACATCCTGCAATATGCAGATGATACAACCTTACTTGCTGAAAGTGAAGAAGACTTAAAATACTTACTGATGAAGATGAAATATCACAGCCTTCATTATGAGTTGCACCTCAGTGTAAAGAAAGCAAAAATCCTCACAAAGGGACCAATCAATAACATCATGATAAATGGAGAAAAGACTGAAATTGTTAGACTTCACTTTGCTTGGATCTACCATCAACATTCAGGGAAGCAACAGTCAAGAAATCAAAGGATGTGTTACCTTAGGTAAATCTGCTGCACAAGACCTCTTTAAAGTGTTGAAGAGCAAAGATGTCAGTTTGAGGACTAAGGTGAACCTGACACAAGCCATGGTATTTTCAATAGCCTTATATGCATGTGAAAGTTGGACAATGAATAAGGAAGACTGTAGAAGAATTGATGCATTTAAATTATGGTGTTGGAGAAGAATATTAAAAGTACCAAGGACTGCCAGAAGAACAAACAAATTATGCTGGAAGAAGTAAAACCAGAATCCTCCTTAGAAGCCATGATGGCCAGCCATCGTCTCTCATACTTTGGACATATTCTCAGGAGGGACCAGTCCCTGAAGAAGTCCCTGCCTGGTAAAGTGGAGGGTCAGCAAAAGAGAGGGAGCCTCCCAACCATATGGATTGGCACAGTGGCAACAGCAATGGGCTCAAGTGTAACAATGATTGTGGGATTGGCGTGTGACTGGGCAGTGTTTTGTTCTATTGTGCATAGGGTCACACTGATCTGACTCCACTGCACCTAACAACAACAAGTCAGAAGAACGAACAGATCTATCTTGAAAGAAGTACAGCAGAAATGCTCCTAAGAAGGAAGGATGGGGCGTGACTTCGTCTCACGTACTTTGGACATGTTATTAGGATGGACAGTCCCTGGAGAAGGACATCAAGCTTGGGAAAGTAGAAGGCTAGCAACAAAGAGGAAGACACTTAAGGAGATAGAGTGAGACAGTGTCTGCGACAGTGGCTCAGATAGAGCAACAACTGTGAGTACGGCACAGGACTGGGCAGTATTTTGTTCTGTTGGGGATCAGGCCACTGAGTTGGAGCCAGATTGACAGCACCTAACAATAACAATCCTGTCTTACTCAATCACATGTTGATCTTATGTCTTCTGAACTAGACTGCAAGCTCTATGAAGGCAGAAACTTGGTCCTGTCTACCACTGAATGCCTAGTTCTCAGCAGTGCCTGGTGCATACAGGTATTCAATAGTATGCAGTAAAACTCACCCTTTTTACTGTGCAGTTATGTGAGTTTTAACAAATGCATGAAGGCAAGTAGCCACCACTATATGCAAGATAAAACAGCTCCAATGCCTGCAAAAATTCTCTCACACCCCTTGTTAGTCAACTCAGTCCCAACTATGAGCGCCTGCAACCACTGATGTGTTTTCTGTCCTTAACGTTTTGCCTTTTCAACATTAAAATATCAATAATTATTTCTGAATGAATGAATGCTATTAACCCTCTCGTTCATCTCTTCTTGACTCCAGAGCCATAATCCATACAGTTTTTATTTCAGCCAAACTGCTCTCTTCTGACCTTCACTCTCACTACTTAAAGTAATGATAAAAGTTGAGACTAGTTTCCTCTATGATCCTGGTCCTCTTCCTATCCCTTTAGCCTTCCTTCTTAATCACAAATGAAGAGGGAAATTTCCTTCTGTAAAACCAACTTATTACCAGCACCTCACTGGCATAATTTGATTTCTCTGGAACTGACATACCAGACAATAAGCTCTATATGAGCAAAGACAGAGGCAGGAGCTGGTAGATGCTCACTACTGCATCCACCAGCGCCTGGTACCTTGTTGGTAGATGATACTCGAGGAAGGAGCCCATGAATTTATCCTTCCGTTTTGTAATCAGACATGTTCAGCACTCAACCTGATGATCAAGTTGGTCTAATCTAGACTGTGAGTTTGAGGGAAGAGAGTCTGACTTCCTCATTCCTTAGCTGCTTTCTTTTGGTGCAAAAGGTCCTTCCTTATCACTAGCCTTTTCTCAACCTTCAGTGTCAGCTCAGATGTCACCTCAGAAAATATCTCCTGGTATCCTTCTACTTAAAGAAGACATTCCAGCCCTTTCTATCATGCTACCCTGGATTAAAGTTGTTTATTTCTGTCTCTTCAAGGGGGCAGAGAGCTTGTTGGTCAGAACTGTACCCAGAGAATAATCTTGCCCCCACTTCAGCCTCTACATTTAAACTACTGTGTAATCTCACCTGTTCCTTTCATTGTTGTCAGTAATCTCATTTTCTTCTCTAACAAGGTGTGCATCAGTGTTTCCACTGAGAGATTTACTTTTATGAAACTAGGTCTGGCCCTTTGTAGAAATTGTATGCAATCCTTTGTCTCAGTTTTAAGCATCATGTGTTAATATTAGCCCCCAGAAAACTGAGATCCTGATTTCTAACATATGATCCTTCTGAACTCTGGTTTTCAAATGATGGCTCTACTCTGATTATTTCTCACAACTTGGCCCACTGAGACTTAAGGAAGCTTCCTGTTCCTTCTTCCCTCATGTTTCCAAGTTTACCCACTTCTCCTCTTGACAAACACCAACTCCCCACTTTCTAGTTCTATGAACTCACTAATCTGACTCTCCCTAACCTGCCCTGCCCTAGCATTCAGAGCCTGCCTGGTACTTCTTGAATGAAGAGTCTATACCTACACCCCGATTTTATACTCATCCATTCTGTATTTCAATTTTTTTCTTTTTTCTAAACAAAGTTTCAAACCCATGAAAAATCACAGAGAATAATTTATAACATTTGTATGGACCACTGCTGTTGTTGAGTGCAGTGGAGTCAGTTCTGACTTGTAGTGATCATGGATAGAGTTTCTGAGGAGCTGGTGGAGAGCAGCTGCTCGATAAAATCTTAATATTTTCTTCACTTTATTTTTTTATTTTTTCAGGGTTCTAACTAAAAATTACTTGTTGTTATTGTTAAGTGCCGTCAATTTGGTACTGACTCATAGCAACCCTGTATAAGATTTCTGAGGAGCCACTGGTGAGCTTGAACTGCTGACCTTGAGGTTCAAAGCAACGCTGCAGTCCAGCGCATTAACCCACAGCGCCACACTTAGGAAGCATTATTTAGGGACTATTTCCTGATCAGGAAATTATGGTTCCTAGTCGCTCTGTGGGAGAAAGAGGAGGCTTTCTGCTCCTATAAAGATGTACAGTCTCAGAAACCTCATACAGGGTTACTATGAGTTGGAACCGACTCCATGGCACACATCTACCCTTACCAAGTAATCTTTAGTTATAGCCCTGAAAAAGAAAAAGAAAAAAGGAGGAAAAACCCAAAAGTTATGAAGCAAATGGTGTAGTGCTGTAGAATAAGCATTTGACTGCTAACTGCAAGGTTGAATGGTTCAAACCTACCAGGTGCTCCTCAGAAATCCTATCCAGGGTAGTTATGGGTCAGAACCAACTTGACAGCACATATAATAATACCATTTCCTGATCAAATATTCTTGATGGTCATTTGTCTAATCATTTCAACTTGCAAAATAATTTTAGAATCAAAGTAAAGTACCTTCGATCTTCTGTTGCCTTCTTTTTCGTGTCTGGGTTAGTTTGAGTCCCATTTGGAACAACTCTTCTATTTATGGTTGGGCAACCAGCCTGAGTTTTAGGAGCAGTCTTGTTCAGAAAATGGTTCTGGGAAAGAGCTTTTTTCAACTTAGTGTCTAAAGTTTGTGCTTTTTGTTGAAGGTTACTGTTGCATTTATCTCCATTAGTTCCATTTGCTCTTATGCTAGGAGTGCTTGGAATTACTGAATGAAAGGTACCAACCGTCAAACTAGGCCTCTGGCATTTGGCTTTTGAATTCTGCAGTACACATGATTTCTGGGTTCTAAAACAAGGCTGCACAGACTTCTGGTCCTGCTTCATGTTTGGATATTTGTTGTTAATTCTTCCCTGAGGCAAACTGGTGTCAGTCTGGGGTTTAGTATGTTTTATGTTTTGTTCATTAACAGGGTTTGAAAGTAACTTAGTTTTATTTGGTCTTTCATATGTAGCCCTGTTGACTTCTTTCTCCTGATCCTTGGCTCCTGGTTTCTTTGATGCCAGAGTCCTACTAAGGGTTTTAACAGAGTGAGAGGGAACTGTTTTGGGGTTTTTTTCTCTTGGTTTCATAAGATCTGCTCCTCTAGAAAGTTGTGATTTTACTGGTATAATCCTGATTTGTGTTTTTCCAACAAATTGTCTATTAACACTGTCTTTTAGAATAGCAGTATTCATTAAACTTTTGCCCAAAGCTTGTTCAGGAGCCAACCTACTCTTGGTTGGATTATGAGAATTAGTCTTTGTCTTACTTAGAGTACAAAATTCAGGATCTGGCTTCTGCTCAGAGTCTGATAAGGTTTGGGGCAAGTTCTCTTTTTTTATGTCCTTTTGAAAATGATCAGAGGATTCATTTTCAGTATGGGAATTGTCCATAAAGTCCAGACATTTATCCTTCCCTTGATCTGTCACCTGCCGCTTTCCAGTTTTCAATTCCTGTCTGTAAAGTGACCCCACAGGTTTTCTGGATGGATCCCTTGAAGTGGATGAGCCAGTTTTGAAGTGCTGGTGACTATCGCTGGAAGGCTTACAATTTAGATTAGAAGAAACACATCCTGAAGTTAGCCTTTTGCCCACAAGTTTTGGTGGATCCAAGTTTGGTTTCTGGGTCCTTGTGATAGTGGTGGACCTAGGCTGGAGTTTAATGCTGATAGGCCTTGTGGTTTTGACAGGCAAAGCAGCATGCTTGGGAACATCCTTTTTGAGTCTAAGAGTCTGTAAATACAAAGAAAAACATCCACGAAGTAAATTCATAATAACATCTCACTCTTTTTAAAGTAATAATAAACACTCCATTTAAACACATGCTAGAAAAATAATCAGGTATTTTAGTTAGAATCTAATTTAAGAAAGTTGAGTTCTAAGATGGTAACAAATGACTTATTAATAACTGATTTTTAAACCATTAAAAGATTGTACCTACATGTAACAAATCACTTGACTTTTCAGAGCTATGTATGTAATAAATAGTTGGTTTTTATAACTTGAGTAACTGTTAAATGCCATTTAGTTGGTTCCAACTCATAGTCACTCTTTAGGGTTCCGAGAAGTGGCTGGTAGATTCGAACCACTGACCTTGTGGTTAGCAGACCAGTGTTTATCCTACAGCAACTTCAGTGCCTATCAGAAATACATCAGAACCTTTTAGCTTGATAGAATGAAGCAATGATGTAGTGAATATACACTGCTGTTTAAAACTCCATTTGTCTCAGTTGAAACAATACTTGCTGAATATCTATTCTATCCCAACAAAGTGCCCTTCTAAGGACTCTGGGGGAGATAAATACATAATAAGCTTATGTCAGTGTCCCTCCTAGTCAATTCTTCCTATTTTCTTCTACTGTCCTAATCAAAAACAAAACAAAACACTGCTTTTATAAAGGTCACCGTGCCACTCAAAGAGATTCTAGGCTATTTACAAGCAAATGGCAGTCATGTGATTTCATTTGGGATAAGAAGGGTCATGTTATAGAGGCTTTGAGAAGTAGGGTGTGGAGTTAAAGTTGATGTGGTCAATAGCAGGAGTGAGCAGAGCATTCAGAGTGAAACCCATTACTCAGAACGAAAGATGTGCCAGAGATGTGGAGGCTACATGGCTCCCGGGGAAGACGTGAGAGTCTAAGAGCCATCACTCCCTACTGCTGCGGATGCTCCTGGTATAAAGACATACACAGCACAATGCCATTACAATATATATATATATATATATATATATATATTTTTTTTTTTTTTTTTTTTACAATATTTTTTATGTGTATTATTTAATGACACTACTAATCAAATTGTTCATCACCATAAACAAAAACTCAACGCTTGCCCCTTCCCACCCTCGCGACCACTAATCAACTCTGGAATCTAATCATTGGATGATTCTAGATAGTTCACACGGGAGACTGCTCTCCATTTTGGAGTCAATATTATTAGGAATCACTGTGCAAACTTGGGTAATGCGTGGTTGTTGTTAAGTACCCTGGAGTCGGTTCCGATTCATAGTGACCCTGTAGAGGGTTTCCGAGGCTGTAAATCTTTATGGGAGCAGAACGCCTCATCTGTCGCCGGGGGAACCGCTGGTAGTTTCGAACTGCTGACCTTGAGGTTAGCAGCCTGGTTTGTCACCACTACAATACTTAGAAGTCAGCAAATAGACCTACATGGCATTAAAGGCACCGGTGTCTCCCCTGGAACAGTGTGTAGGTGTGTGTGTTGTTAGTGGAGGTGGGAAGAGGCTGGGGTGGAGGGTGGAGAGGCGGATGGTACACCCACATGGTTATACCCAGGCTGTTTCGTGATTCCCAACATTTACAGCCGTCTCAGCTCCCTCCATATCGCCTTCTGAAGAGGCGGGATGCTGTTCCCAGATGTGTCTCACTCACTCTTTAGCTGCCCTTTCTTGTACATTTTTCAAAAATTGAGATATAATTCACATGCTATAAAATTCATTTTTTAAAAGTGTACAGTTCGGTGGGTTTTAGTATATTCACAAGGTGTGGCAACCATTGGTGGTGGTGGTGGGTGTGTGCCGTGGAGTCGGTTCCGACTCATAGCTACCCTGTCCAGGGTTTCCGAGGCTGTAAATCTTTTCCGGAGCAGAACGCCTCATCTTTCTTTCGCGGCACGGCTGGTAGTTTCGAACTGCTGTCTTTGCGGTTCGCAACCCAATTCGTAACCACTACGCTACCAGAGCTCCTAATCACTAATTCCAGAACTTTTTCATCATCCAAGAAAGAAACTTTGTTTCCCTTCTCCATTTCCTTTTTAGAATGAAACACCCCCATCTCCTTGTCTCCCCAGCCCCTGGCTATCGCTGATCTACTTTCTGTTTCTATGAATTTGCCTGTTCTGGACATTACATATGAATGGAGTTATACAGCATGTGACCTTCTGCATTTGGCGTCTTTTATTTGGCATATGTTTTCTAAGTTTATCCATGTTGCACCATGTATTAGAATTTCATTGCTTTTTATGACTAATATTCCATTGTACAGATATGCTACAGGTTGGTTATTCATTAATCAATTAATAGATTTTTTTCCCCTGCCTCTTCTGAATGCTGCTCTGAACATTTGTGTGAAATTCTGTGTAAATACATGTTTCTATACTCCTGAGTATATGCCTATGCCTAAGAGTGACATGGCTGGCCCCTATAGTTTATCTTGAGACACTGCCAGACTGTTTCCTAAAACACCTGCACACCCTTTTACTTTCTCATCAGCAGTGTATGAAGATTCCAATTTCACTATCCTTGTCAATCAACACTTGTTGTCTGCCTTTGTAATATTAGCCAGCCTAGTCAATGTGAAGGTCCCTAGGTAGTACAAGCAGTTTGCACTCGATTACTAACATAAAGGTTGGTGATTTGAACTTGCCCAACAGTATAGAGGAAGGAATCTGGCAGTCTGCTTCCATAGAGATTATAGATAAGAAAACCCTTTGGAGCATTTCTGCTCCAATATGGGGTCGTCATGTGTTAAAATCCACTTGAAGGCAAAGGATTTTAGGGGCTATGGAATGGTATCTTATGTTGCTTTGATTTGAAGTTCCCTGATAACTAATAATGTAAAGCATTGTTTCATGTACTTATTGGTCATTTGTCTATCTTTTTTTGAGAAGTGTCCATTTAGATCATTTGTCCATTTAAAAAATGGATTGGTTTAAAATTATTGGCTTGTGGGAGTTCTTCATATATTCTGAATAATAGGCCCTTATCAAATATATGATTTGCAGACAGTTTTTCGAATACATTTTAAAAAAAGTATATTTCTTTTAGGCTAGTCTGTAACCTGGAGGTGGTCAAACTGGTTAAACATGCCACTGAGTGACAAAAGCAGTGCTTAGGAGAATGAGTCACCAAGCTAGCAGAATCAATATTCAATAAATATGCAAATATAGAATGCTAGTGTTGGGAGGAATTTTGTAGATCATTAAATTTATCCCCCTCATTTGAGAGGGAAACTGAGTTGCCCAAGGTTGGGCAAGGAGTTAAAAGCAGGGTTGGAGCTGAATTGGACTCCTGGTCTCTTTCAGTCTGCTTAAGAATTGATGGAGCAATCTGATAAAAAACAAACACTGAACGTACAGGAAGAAACAATAGAGATTACACTGAATTTGGTTTCTTTATTCTGTATATATGAAACTGGAGAAGAGATAAAATTCTTCAGATACAACTAGAGTTTAGTCATTCAAGAGAGAATTACTGAATGGCAGCTATATACTAGGCACTGCGCTAGTCTCTAAGGAACACAAAGATCACAGGAGATGACACCTGTAGCTAAGAAGCTCTAGAAGAAATGATATATATATATATAAAATTGTGATACAGTGAAATGAGGGCTATACTAGGTCTGCAAAGGGCTTTCAAGAATTTTTGTTCCTGTAATTTAACACTCAATCCTTTCATATTTTAAAAATTAACATGTAATATTTTTTTCACTGTTAGTTTAAGAATTGCAAAAAGTACAATTTCAGGCACTTTAAGATAAAATGAAACTTGATACCCATCACAAACCTTTAAAAAAAAAAACCCAAAACTATACAACATCAGGATTGGAGGAAGACTCATTAACAACCTGAGATATGCAGATAATACAACCATGCTTGCTGGAAGTGAAGAGGACTTAAAATATTTACTGAAAGACAACAAAGACTACAGTATGGATTGAGTATCAATGCACAGACAACGAAGATCTGCATCACTGGACCAATAAATAGCATTATGATAATAATAGGAGAAAGATTGAGTTGTCAAAGACTTCATTTTGCTTGGATCCACCATCAACATTCATGGGAGCAGCAGTGAAGAAATCAAACGATGTATTATATTAGGCAAATTGCTGCACAAGACCTCTCTAAAGTGTTCAAGAGTGAAGATGTCAGTTTGTATCTTACCCAAGCCATGGTATTTTCAACTGCCTCATATGCATGTAAAATTGGACAATGAATAAGGAAGACCATAAATGAGGAGATTTAAAAAAAATTATGGAAAAATGAAATGATAAGATAATGGAATTTTTCCACAAACTTTTTGAAGTACCCTTGTATATGTTGTTTGCTACTGAGTAGATATGAATGATGACTGAGTCATGAAAATTTACTAAAATCTGTACCAATATCTCATTTGGGGGAATTCTACTTCAGCTATACTTTAGAACTTAGATAAAATGAAGGTTTTAAAAATTAAAGGTAGAACTTTTCTTGATTGTTGTCTTGCAGATTTTGTGTCCTTTTCAGAAGGTGAATTTCTGCAATTTAAACCTTAAGTATTTTAGAGTGCTTTACCATTTCTATCCGCAAGAGAAAGATGAGGCTTTCTACTCCCGTAAAGATTTACACCCTCGGAAACCCTGTACAGGGTCGCTATGGGTCGGAACCGACTCGATGGCACTTAACAACAACAACCATTCTATCCACAAATCTAGCTGAACTGAATCTGGAGGCATATTCTTGCTAAGTAGCTTAGAGGATCCAACATAGTTATTCTCTTTTAATGACTACTGAACTACCTCATGGCCAAATAACAAAGTGGTTAAAGAGCACAGGCTCTGGGCTTTGTCACTTATAGCTATGTGACCTTGAGAAACTTTCTGTGACTCAGCTATCACATGTGGATACTACTAGTACCTCATTCATAAGTTGTTCTGAGGACTCAGTGAGCTAAAGCAAATCAAAGAAGTGTCAGGCATATAGTAAAAATTCAATAAATGTTAGCTATCAGGAAGAGTCAACTCAAAATTTTGTTCTTTTGATTATCAATACTAAACTGTAACAAGTTGTACTTTTCAAGAAATGTTTTTTTATTAACCAAAACTGTTCTTACATTCATGAGAAATATCTTTGCTATATATGTTCGACAGGTTGCTAACATCTTTATTACTTCCAAAATGGATATTTCTTAAAAGATTAGTTTCTACTCACAGATTTAGAAGATGCAAGATTTTGGCAAGTGTTGATGGCTTTTAGATAAGGTCTACAAAAGAAGAAAAAAAAAAAATTAATCCTTAACACAGAAGAATCAGCAAGACTTGGGAAGTATGATTACAACAATGATTATAATTAGAATTTCAAATGACCAGAATTTCTGTATGATAAAATAATTTAAAGTTATATTTAATAAAAAGTCATCTTATCCTTCCCTCGGTCCCATTATTTCCTTCCTCAGAGACCACAACTGCTATAACTCAATTTTGGGGTGTGTGTGAGCCTTTCAGATATAACTAATGGATAAATATAGCATTCTAATAATATTTATGAAGTATGTTTTCTTCATATTTGCATAGTCTTATTCATTCAGTCACCATTCTCTGAAGCAGGCACTGGAAATACAATGTCAAATAAGATAATTAACTGCTTGTTGAAAAGAAATTCCTTGGTTGAAGTATCTTCAAATTGTGAATTTTCAGGGTGAAAATGATATAAAATAATTAAAAACCCAGGGCTTTCCCATTGCTTTCAAATCAATTCCAACTCATATCTACCCTTCAGGACTGGGTAGAACTGCTCCCAAGAGTTTTGGATAGTACATTTTTATGGAAGCAAACTGCCTCATCTTTCTCCTACAGAGTGGCTGGTGGGTTTGAACTGCCAACCTACCTAGGGACACCTATGAAATCCAGTTAGTGAGACAGAAAATAGAAAAAGGGTTTAAAAAAAAAAAAATAGAGAAAGATTTGGAAGGACTCAATCCCTGTGAACCAGAAACAATTGCCAGGCTAACAGGGATTTTGGTCATGCTATTTGATGTTTGTCATTCCCATCTAGCATATAAGCCCTGGAATGGTGGGCGATCTTTTTGTCATTAGTCATCATATTGTGAGTAGAACTTTATGAAAGCAGATTGCCTCATTTTTCCCCTCGAGGCAGCTGGTGGGTTGGAACCACCCACCTTTTGGTTAGCAGTGCAGTGTTGAACCATTGTGCCACCAGGGTGCCACTTGTAGGTACTAATGTATTTATTGAATAAATGAACTGTCTTAATTCAATCAAGGAAACACAGTTGAGTAGAAACCCAGGGTAAAAAGCAACTAAAATAAAAATGAAAAGCTAAGGCTGTAAAAAATAATTTTCAAATAAAAATTTAGTCAAATGGAGAGCAAGACATCAATGCTAAGCAAGAAAGATAAATAGCACTACTCAGTGGTAACATGCTAACAAAAGATAAAAGGAAGTGGCTTCATTCTGCCCACCTCAAGAATATGTGCAAAGAGAATAACCAAAGAGCATTTTTAGGTGGGAGGATGTTGGCATATTGCTACCATCAGAATAAAGGCCATTCAACTTCTCAACCAAAACTGCCTTCACAAGAATCACTTTCCCAGGAAAAACAGGAGCAAGTGGAAAAGCTTCCAATATGGGTATAAGCAATGTTGTAAATTCTTCCCTCCTTTCTTTGGAGTTCATCACAATGTTTACATCTTTGTCAATGGACTGGGCACTCTCCTGGGGGGTTTGCCATGCTTGGACTGAAATGCCCTTTTTATCACAGGATCTCAATGCAGTCTGAGTAGACGGAAGGCAAAAGAGCTATGTTTTAAAAAACTTTAGGTTGCAACTAGTGAAACATGGATAACTGTGGGTAGACAAACTCACTTGGTGTTTTGACACTTCAGCTTTCCCTTGGCTGCTAGGTACTCCTGAAGCTTTCTCTGCCGCTCCTCTGCAAAACAAGCAAGCCAATAAACAGTTCATTTATATTCTTAAAGATGACGCTTATCTATAGTAATTTTGGCTTTGGACCATGATGATTTTTAAAGTCCCCTAATCCTGTACATTTGACTTTAATATTAAATCAACAACATCCTTTACTGAAGACTTATATGCCTGGTTCTTTATACTTTATATTAAGCCCTTTATGCATACATTACTTTGTTGAACCCTCGCAATAATTTTATCAGATGTTTTATAGACTGAAAGTTAGTGAGGGATAATAACTTGCCCAACATTGCCCAGTTCACATGTGTCAAAACCAGGATTTGAAACCGGCTTTGTTCAACTTCAGGGGCCTTGTTAATGGCTACTCTTCTCAGCTATAAAATACAGTGCTTTAGTAATAGCAAAGTTAAAAAATAAACAGAAAACAACAAATGCTCGCGAGGGCGTGGAAAGACTGGGACCCTCCTACAGTGCTGGTGGGACTGTAAACTGGTGCAGCCACTGTGGAAAACGGTATGGCACTTTCTCAAAAAGCTGGCAATGGAAAGACTATATGACATAGGAACCCCTTTACTTGGTTTATATCTTCAAGAAATGAGCCATGACATGAATACATATCTATGCACATCCATGTTCACTGGGGCATTATTGACAGTAGCAAAAAGATTGAGCTTGCCTAAGTGCTCATCAACAGAATGCTTAAAAACAACTGTGGCATATGCACACAACGGAATACTATGCAATGTTGAAGACTAAAGCTGGATTTGCAAAACACCTAACATTGGATGAGCCTAGATGATATGACGCTGAGTGAAATTAGTCAATCACAAAAGTACAAATATTGTAGGACACCACTGTTGTAAAAAGTTAATAAAAGGTTTTCTGGATAAAATGAACATTCAATGATGGTTAGGGTAGGGGAGGAAACATTATCCACAGGCTAGAAGGTTGACACATTAACATGGGTAGCAGGGGAGGCAATATACAAGAGGGAGATTGGCAAAGTAGAGATGAAGGAGGTAGTGAGAAACACTGGAAGAAATCCAAGACTTAAACTGAATAGAGGTAGATGCTGTTAAAGGATGGTACATGGAGGGGATTGCAATCATTGTGATGAAGCAAAGCATATGATTTGTTCAATGTAAATCTGATGATCTGCTCTGTAAATGTTCACTCAATTCACAATAAAAAGTTAAAATAAAAAAATTACAATGCTTTGCATGGAGAAATTCTGCTATGGTCCCACCTAAGGTGGTGAGCCAAGTCTGGTCTTATGGGCTTTTTTTTTTTTTCCTGGCAAGAATGATGTATTTTATCTACAAACTCTTACATGGTTTCCTTGGGACAAGGGACAAAATAGAATGGTCCAGAGGGCTCATGGAAAACATTTATATGATGACTTCCTATACAGGGCATTTGTGAGGGGATGGAAAGTCAACATTCCCAAGAAATTTCAGTCTCCTAGTAGAGATAAAAAAAAGGAGCCCTAGGAGAGTAGTGGGTTACATGTGGGGCTGGAATGGCTCCCTGGAGAAAGATGAGGCTTGCTGCTCCTGTAAATATCTACAGCTTCAGAAACCCTATACAGGGTTGTTAGGAGTCAAAATTGACTGCACGCACACCACTGTCAGTAGAGATTAAATCAACACAAGAATCATTGTAGGGCAGGAGAAAGCATTATGGGAGTTTAGAGATGGGGAATGTGTGAGAAGAACAGGTGATGGAAAAGGTTAAAATTAAATAATGGTTAAAACAAAAACAGCTATAGGGGTGCAGAACTACTCATGATCTCAAGTGAACTGAATTGTCTTGTATTTTGATATCTGACTATAACACATCTATGAGTTCGGAAGAAAGGCAACATTTTAGATCCAAGAAAGACAGCGTAGAGAGCAGGGGTTGAGGAGTCTGGATAGGAACCCCAGTTCTGGGTCTTTTAGCAAAGAAGGAAATCCTGCTCCCACAGCGCCTATAGAATAGGGGCAGAAATGTACAGTAGGATAGGTATGTATGGTAGCCAGCATCTACGAGTCAAATCAGCATTATTCATTATTAATGAAGCGATCAAAACACGGTGTGTTATCTTGGAGAAGATGGCAGCTGAAGACAAGGATTTGGAAGAGCAGGAAAGGGCTCCAGGTCCACCTCGATGGCTAGGGAACCTAGGATTCCTGGCTGTCTGGGCAGATTTAACTAGTCAACTTTCAGTCAGCAGCAGGCTCACAGGTGCAGACCTGTGAGCGCCACGCTGAAGGCAAGAAACTCAGGTTGGCTGCAGACCCGCCTCTTGGCACTGTCAGAGATGGGGGCGCGGTACCCGCACACAGGAACCAAATCTGGTTCCAAGGAGCACTTTGCCTCCTATTGGTTGTGGGACGCCGGGCAAGGGGCCTCTGTTTATTTCTCTACAACGTGACGACAGTGACATCTTTGTGCACAGCTGCTGCAGGACTTCGGGGAAGACCCCTGGGAGGCATCTGCCCCCGAGCACGGCACCAGCCCCACCCCAGGTCCTTCGAACCCCAGTGCTCGCTGTAGGCCTGGGCGTGGACCCTGAACGGGAAACGTCCGGAGGGGGACCTCAGGAAAGCTGGCGCACGAACTGCTCTCAATGGTCTCTTCCCCACCGGTCTTTCAACATCTGCAAGAAACAAGGGGCACGGTCATACTCACCGATTGCGGCGGCACTGGGTCCCGGCCCCACCATGATTCCTCCGTGACAGTTTTTCTTCAAAGGACGCGCTTGGACCAAGCACGGCGCGCCACACGTTCGTTTGTTCTCGTTGGTTCCCACGGCTTTGAAATCCACCAATTAGAGATAGGAAGGGAAGGGCGGGACAACAGCAAAATAGACGCTTTGCGGTTGGCTTTGGTCTTTTGGGCCCTCCCCTGGGGACCTTTGATTGAAAGATCGTGTAGCAAAGTATTGGAGCCACGGTGACGTAACTCGCTGGTGAGTCCAACTTGAGCCGTCAGTGGGAGGGTGGGTTGATTTTGGCACCCATTTCACAGGAGTGCTCCGGAGCTGGTGCTGCAGGAGCTCTGGTGCTACTAGACAGAGCTGCCTTCCTGACCTCGAGGACCACCACTTCGCTGCTTCCTTTATCTCAGATATTCAGCTTCACAAAATTATGAAAAAAATAATTCAAATCTGATGAGTTAGGCTCCTCGTTAAGAGACTATATTCCATTGAGAGTCTGATTGTTGTTGTTGTTGTTAAGTGCCATCGACTCGATTCCGACGCATAGCGACCCTGTTATAGGGTTTCTGAGGAGCAGATGGTGAGCTTGAACCGCAGACCTTGCAGTTCAAACGGCTTTGCAGTCTGGAGCATTAACCCACAACGCCACACCAGGACTTCTTGAGAGTCTGATAAATCTCAAGATTATTACTTTTAAGTATTAACATTTAAAAAAAAAACATTTTTTGTGTGTGTTGAAAACATATGCATAGAATGGACACCATCTTAGCAATGTCTATATGTACAGTTTAGTGACATTGATTATATTCTTCAGGTTGTATGTTGTTGTTGTTAAGTGCCATTGAGTCGGGTCCGACCCATAGCGACCCTGTACAGGGTTTCCGAGGGTGTAAATCTTTACGGGAGTAGAAAGCCTCATCTTTCTCCCACGGAGCGGCTGGTATAACCATCCTCAAACCCTCTTTCCTCAGTTTTCCTCATCATTAAAATAAACCCACAGCCCCCCTATTCAACTTTGAGCTTGCTATTGTCAGTTTGAGCTTATATATAGTGTTTTTGGAGAGCAGTAGCTCTAGAATAAGCACTGGACTGGAAACCATAAACCCTAGTTCTAGCCACCAGCCACTTAGTGGGAAAAAGATGGAACTTCCTGGTCTCGCAAAGATTTATAGCCTCAGAAACCCTTGTTGTTAGGTACCATAGAGTCGGATAGGGACCCTATGCACAACAGAACAAAACATTGCCGGATCCTGGGCCAACCTCACTACTATTGCCACACTTAAGTCCATCAATGCTGCCACTTTGCCAATCCATCTTGTTGGGGGCCTTCCTCTTTTTCTCTGACCCTCCACCTTACCAAACATGATATCCTTCTCTAGTGACTGGTCCCTCCTGACAATAGGTATGAAGTATGAGAGACAAAGTTTGGTCATCTTGGCTTCTAAGGAGCGCTCTTGCTGCACTTCTTCCAACACAAATCTGTTGGTTCTTTTTGGCAGCCCATGTCACTTTCAATATTCTCTTCCAACACCATAACTCAAAAGCATCAATTCTCCTACAGTCTTCCTTATTCACGGTTCAACTTTCGCATGTATATGAGATTGAAAATACCATGGCTTGGGTCAGTCCTCATTAAATATACCCCAGTAAACCATTAATCTCTCAAAAATGACTTTTCTGTTTTCCCAAGGACTTTGCTCACTTTGAAGTAACAGAAGATGGTAGATGTTTAATCTGAAAGTTGCTATAGCATTATGTGTATGCCATATGAATTGGTTTATCTGAGTGCAGGAGAGGTGGTGGGTAAGAGGGGCAACAATGTCTGGGTTCTGGTTTCCCTAATTTACTTCACAGTTGGGCACAAAACTGAGTACAAAGCCACTGAATCAGGCCTTCTCTTTGGAACCCCACTTGGGTTTCTGCATTTTGACCTTTAAAATACCAATATATTGCTGTTGTTATGTCCAGTGGAGTCAGTTCTGACTCATAGTGACTCTGTACAGGGTTTCCAAGGAGCAGCTGGTGGGTTTGAACTGGCAACCTGTGGTTCACAGTCCAGTGCTGATCCCACAGCACCACACCAGGAGTCCATAGTAAAAGGAGTCCTGGTAGCACAGTGGGTTACAATTTGGTTTCTAACAACAAAGGTCAGTGGTTCAAATCTACCAGCCACTCTGTGGGAGAAAGATGAAGCTTTCTTTTTCTTGCAAATTTATAGCCTCAGAAACCCAACCAGGGTTGCCACGGCACACAACCAACCAAGGAAATGTAAAGAAAACAGGAAAACTGATGATGATTTTAGTGAAAATTTTGGATACTATTTAAGACCACGAGTCTGAGCCTAAAGGTTAAATCTAGAAGGTGGACAACAGTCTTCTCTGTAAATGATTAAGAATCTCTACTTATGGGGTTTCTGTACTGTTTCAGAAAAGTAAAAGGGATTTCATTGGTCTTTATAAAATCTTAGTGACTGAATGAGTTTCTGTTAAGAAGGCATTTTGCCAATCTCCCACCTAATGCTAGAGTATTCTACTAATTCCATGTAGGAGTATTTGCTGGTATTGGGGAACTGCCCTACCTGGCTAGGTAGAATCTGTCCAGTTCTTGGAGGACCCTAATTGTTATGAAACTCTCTTTAAAACAATCCCAAACAAACCTGTTACTCCTTGGTGTTGGTCCATTGGAGCAACATAAGCCAGTTGTGCACCCCTGTCTACAGCCTTGGAATGTTTGAAGGTCTGTTTTGCAGAAGGACACACAATATGGAAAAAAACCCAAAACAAACCCACACACAATTAGGCAGTTAAAAAAATTCTCAACTCATCAAGCAAAGTATTCACTTAATTCTCCTTGGTTTTTATGACTTCAACAGCTTCCTTTTGCTTTCAGCCTAAAGACTTACAAGCCGCTGGCTGGTCTGGCCTTTGCCTACTTCCTCAGCTTTCGGATCAGCTCACACTACTCTTCACCCCTATTCACTGCAGTCCCTTCACTCTGACTATCATTCACTCTCTTTTCTTTCCATATACTCCACTGGAACCTGACCTATCTCCCCTTTTCTCCTGGCTAACTTTTTTTTTTTTTTTTTTAATAAACATGCCAGATTTATTGAGCTATCATTCACATACTATCTGATTCATTCCTTTAAAGTGAATAATTCAATTTTAGGACATTTAGAAAAAATATACAAGTGTCTATATGTATTTGGAAGGAATTCTGGTAGTGTAGTGGTTACGAGTTGGGCTGCTAACCTCAAAGTCAGCAGTTCTAAACTACCAGCTTTTCCACGGGAGAAAGATGAGGCATTCTACTCCTGTACAGATTTACAACCTTGGAAATCCTATGCGGGGTCACTGTGAGTTGGAAATGACTCCATTGGAGTCCTGGTGTGACACTGTAGGATAAGCACTGCACTGTTAACTGTAAGGTCAGCAGTTCAAACCCACCAGCCTCCCCTTGGAAACACTATACAGGGTTGCTATGAATCAGAACCCAGTCAACGGCACTTAAGTAAAACAGCAACATACACCACATGTCTGTCAGTTTGTCGTATTGTGGTGGCTTGTGTGTTGCTGTGATACTGGAAACAATGCCACTATTTTTTTAAAATACCAGCAGGGTCATTGATAGCAGACAAATTTCAGTGGAGCTTTCAGATGAAGACAGACCAGGAAGGAGAGACAGACTACTTCTGAATGTTTAGTCACTGGATACCTTATAAAGAGTAGCAGAACATCGTCAGATATAGTGCCCGAAGATGAGTCCCTCAGGGAAAGCGCTCAAAACATAACTGGTGAAGAGCTGCCTCCTCAAAGTAGAGTTGACTTTAATGATGTGTATGGAACAAAGTTTTCAGGTCCTTCATTTGTTGATGGGGTACAGCTCAAAATGAGGGGAAAAAGTTGCAAACTTCCACTAATAATCGAAATGTGGAATGTACGAAGTATGACTCTAGGATAATTGGAAGTAGTCAAAACCAAATGGAATGAAGACAGATGTCCTAGGCATTGCTGTTATTAAGTAGATTCCCACTTATAGCAACCATGTATATGGTTTCCAAGGTGTGGATACCTTTTGAACTGTTGACCTTGTAGTTAGCAGTCTAGTGCTTAACTTGTAGTACCCCACCAGGACTCCATCCTAAGTATTGGTGAGCTGAAATGAACTGGTGTCAGCTATTTTAAATCAGACAATCATGATTTGCTATACTTAGACTGATAGAGCAGTGGGATTGCATTCATTGTCAAAAAGAGCATTCCAAGATCTTTCTCTCTCTCTCTTTTTTTCAAAACTTTTACTGTGACTCAAGTGAAGGTTTACAAAGATCAGATCATCAGTTTTATATTCAACAAATCATACATTTTGTTTCATCTCAATGACGGCAATTCCCTCCATGTCACAACGGTGACGATGACAATACACTTATTTCCACAGTAGAGATATGCCTGTCAAATAGGTACCACACAGATTATGTCTTTGGCCAAGGTATTTTTTGGACAATGTTTTCCTTTCTCTTTCTGCCATTTCCCCCCCTCTATTATACATTTTATAATCATTTTTCTGAATTCCTTCTCAGGCATTTCCAAAACCTGCCCATCTTCCAGTATGGAGTGTAGGTCTACTTCCAGTTCATTTTCCTCAGTCACTTTATCTCATTTCTAGACATGTGCAGATGTGGTCATCTGCTTCTGGTTTTTGGGCATCTTCAGGGTTATCTGTGGCCTTAATACTTAGATGGGTATGTATTTTGGTATTTTTTGTTCTTTCTGATTGCCTCCAGGTAGATGTGATCAGGAAATGGGCTTCCCTTTGCACTCTTCTTCTTGAGAAATTTCAAGATGCCATTGTTGGCCGTTTTGGCGTAATTTAGGATTTAATTTTCGGCTTATCCCTTTTTGTCTGCTTGTCCCGTTCCACAATCCCTGTTCAGGCCTTTTTTCTAGTTATAAACAGTTCAGGGCTGGCTGTGGCCGTTTGGTTTTAATTGGAAACTGTCACTTTAAATT